TGAATTGTGTTCATTTTATTTGAATCCTAAATTGTACAAAATAAGTGAGCTTACTGAGAAAATGGTTGTAATATGAAAAGAGCTCACTCCCCCTGGATGTTATCGTTTTGAAACAATGAAGGATTCAACTTGTTTCTTATAAAGCCTTAAAACATTACATATTTTGATTATTGTTGTAGTGATTATGACTGGAAAAGATAACTGATATGTATGGAATTGCAGCATTAGAGGTTGAAGATAGATCATGAAGGTCAATGAGTCATGGCAACGCAATAAAAGTTTCAAATTGAAACTTTCAATACAATTGAAGAGTCCTTTGATATAAAATGATTAACACAAACAAGGGAATATGACCTCAGTTCAGGTGAATTCAGATTGAAATTGTCTTGAGTGGGTGTCATGACAAACTGGAGCAAAACTTCTGACAATGAGATGAGTGAGTGAAGGCTGCTGCACTAATGTTTTTTTTCCGCCCTTTTCAGGCTGAAACAAGTTTTCAAACAATGTATACTCATCATCAGAGGAGCTACAACGAGGCCAAATACCATCCTCTCTGCGTGTGAAGAAGTTTGTTCTAAACTGGAACACTTTTAATTTAATATCAAAAACATTGTTGAAAAAGTAAATTATGCAGAACATTATTCAAAGTGGACATTTTTGTTGTTAACAAAACAATTTGAACCATGTACAAAGCCAATCAAAGGGTGTAATTAATGAATGTTATGTGAGCCAGTCTGTTTATATGCAGATCAGAGATTCAGGGGGATTTGTGTAAAAAAAACATAAATGATTTAGTGCTAAAAATGAAACTAAATAATAAATGTTGTGAAGTGACTCATAACTTCAGCACCAACTTTGCTCAAGCAATCAATATTGCAGAGGATGTCTTTTATGATAGTTGGTATCTAATTTTGTAGCTTAACCCTGGGCCATTGCTATATACAGACAATGAGACCAGTTTTTGTTTTATTCACACTAGGAAGTTCAAATGACATATAATACACATAATAAGACCTCTCCATCTGGTTTTAGACCAGTGGCAGTCATTTTTATGGTAATTGTCTTTTTCATCTAACAGACAAGAAAAGTGGTTACAAATAACCAGTATGTTGGAACTGTCTGTGAGTCGATTTGAGCGCCCCCCTGTGGACAGAAGTGTATGTCTTATTCTCACGCTCTGTGTTTAAGTAAACCACATCCTGCATTCTTTCGTGAGTTCAATGTATCACTAATCGTGAATATTCGCTTCGGAAAATATAAGTGTGCTGTAAATCTTTCCGTCTTTCACATTCCCTAAAAGAGGTAACCAGATTTAAATAACAAGAGAGAAATAGTTCATTTTCATTGCCAACTGTCTTGTTTGCTTTTGTAGATCATTATAGAAACACAAGTATGACTTTCAGTCTAGTTCATAAGTTCTAGTTCATTTGTTGCTCAGCAATAACAAAAAAAGGTTCTCCTTTTTTTTTTAAACGTCAGAACTGGTTATTTCCCCATGGGAAATAAATTCACTGTTTATTGATGGAAACACAACCTGTCAACCTCAGAGAAAACACATTAGTCCACTGTGGTGACAATGACAGCAGGGTATGCATAAATTGTAACTAAGTTGATTTGATCACAATTCTTTATGACAGGGAATTATTAATTTACTAATGCTGGCCCGAGACACCACTGATTCAGGTCCATGCCATTTTAATTTAACCTCCAAGTTCATAGAGTGGAAATGCATTTTTCTCCATATGATCCAGAGTCAGGTTTGTCAGGAGGAAACTTATGTTCAGAGGACTGTGGATCCATTCCTGCAGTCATCAAGAGAGACCTCTGAGCTCCACGCGTATCAATATCAACAGAGAGAGGGTGTGGTGTATCAATACTGCTGCCTTATTCGATTATTTTACCCAATTTCATGAAGACAAACACTTTGTTAAAAGCATGAAAATGAATTCTTCTTCTGAATGTGCATAGCTGCTCCATTAAAGGTTATTAGTGACATTAGACACACACACAACACACACACACACACACACACACACACACACACACACACACACACACACACACACACATCCAACCACACTTACCATACTTTTCATGTCATTTTTAAAATGAATAGTGCCAAACATTCCTACCCTACCTGTGTTATTTCTTTTAAAAAGAAACATCAGCCAGTTTCTGCTTGTTTAAAGGAGGCGGAAGTAAAAAAAAAAAAAAACCTTCTACATAATGTTTCATGGTTTAGAATGCTAAAGAGAGTTTGAAAATAACTAAGACAGTGTCTGCAGCTTTTTCCTAAAGAAAACCCATAAATGATAGTCAAGCAAATAGCTACTTTTTTGGATGCACAGTATGTATGTATCGCCCCACTAAAGCCCGACGAGCAGCAAAGAAGAAGAGAGTGCAGGTTCATGAAATTGTCAGGGCACGACAGAATTTGAGTTTATAGACTTGTCTAGGAGCTGCAGCTAAAGGCACCTTCACAAGCACGACATACATTTCAGCTGCTGTTTAAAACACACCTATACGCCCCAAACTATTTGACATTTCTTTTCAAACAAGAGCTCTCTTGCCGATGTCCTGGCAGGTCTTTAAATTAGAGCTCAGGATAGGACACTGTTTGGTGTGATCTGTTCATCCCTCCTATTTGATGCGCTGAGGGGGTTGTCACGGGGTTGATGTGCCCAAGTTGAATTTTTTTTTATGTCTGCGTAACACGCTCAGCTCTACTTTACACTAAAGTAATGCTGCTCAATCATCAGTTATAAAAAGCAAATTGAATGTCTAATTCATGCTTTTATTACAACCTCTACTACTATAATACACTTGATGTTGACGTTTGCCAGGCATCTCTGTCTCGCCTAGTTGGTCCAAAATGCTGCTGCTCTTCTTTTAACAGATACAAGAAAGTCAGAGGACTTCTCCCCCATCCTGGCATCCCTCCACTGGCTCCCTATTCGTTTCAGGATTCCTTTTAAAATGTTACTATTTGTTTTTAAGTTGCTTTATGGCTCAGCGCCACAATATATCTCAGAACTTTTGCTGTTCTGCACCCCGTCAAAACCACTCAGATCTGCTGACCAATTACTTTTAATCACTCCAAAACCTAGGCGGAGGACCAGAGAACAAAAAACCTTTTCAGCTATTGCTCCAAAACTCTGGAACGAGCAGCACCCCCAGGTCATGTTGGCTCCCACAATGCCTGTTTTTAAATCTTGTCTTGACACAAATTTTTATGCCTGGGCTTTAACTCTGTCCGAGGGCTGTTTAATCGTCTGTCCTTGCCCTTGTTCTTTTACTATTTTATCTCTTTTTTTTATAATATCATTATTTGTTATTTATTACAACTACTATTTTTTGTGGACTGTAAAGCACTTTGGTGAACACTACCTTTTATTCTAGATGTGTTTTCTAAATAAAGCTGGATTGGATTTAAGGGCCTCCAAACATGAATGTGTCTGCAAAGACCCTTTCCTCTGCCTGTATTTTGATGTTTTGGTAGATACGAGATGTTTTGGTTGATTCGGGAAATGATGTTTCCAGTAAATGCATGCAAGTGAGTTTGGGAGTGGATACAATTTAGTTTTTGGATGCCATTCAAACCAGAACATATTGTGGATGTGGACTCCTGCAAACCCAGATGTAGGGGCATACAAAAGAAAATACAATCAAAGTGTGGCAAAACGTCACACCAATAAAGCTTGTTCCAAAATGAAGGGTATTGGCTTTCACCCGGCGATGCGAAGTTGGCCTGCTTTCTGTTGTACAGGCAGGTGCCAATCACCGGGGATTAGCTTCTGCTAGCTTGCTTAATTATCGGCTTTTCCGTTACAACAAATGTAGTATAGTGGCGGCTGGTCAATAGTGGCCGTTGCTCACCCACTCCCCACAAGGAGAAAGACAGACCTTCACTGAATACATTTTAAAAATGAATCTTAAATAAAGGCTCTACATATGTGTACAATAGTAAAAGGGGAAAGTAAAAAATATGAAGTTATTGATTAAACTGTATGATCTGCAAAAAATATATATATTTCAAACTTTCTATGTCTCATGTTACTGATACGTTGTCTTCTTCCAGTCTTGGGCGCTACAATTTGCACCCTGGGCCTCCATTGACTGGCGATATAAATTGAACATATACGTATATGCTTTACATTTCAATATATATACTGTATAATACAAGCGTACCCTGCAGTGGGTGTGCGCTTCTGGTGGTGAGGATCCCAGGAGGAGGAACAAAGTTTGAATGTTGTGCTTACAAGCTGCAACGAACATTGCTACTGACTCTAAAGGAATTGTTTTTTCATTTTTCCCAAATGATTTACATATTTTGTGGTGTTTTAAATCTTTGTTTGCATTTTGAATAGCTTAAAAATAGTGAATGAAATTGTCTTATAGGGATAAAGTTTCCAGGGGAACATGCATAAGTTTGGGAAAAAAAGGCCTGAATATTTACTTCTTCTAGCTCCTTCTCTGTAACTAGTTGTTGTTGCCAGAGTAATGGCAAATTGACAATCTACAGGTCATGCTGTTTTGGCTCTTAAAATCAATGAGAGCAGCACAGGTTTAGTGATCCATTTTTGAAGAGGGAACCAAAACACATTTTTTCGGGTTGTAATTGAGCCCCAAGCTGAGGAGGCACCCTGCAGCAGAGGAGCGAGTTGGCACTTTTTGATTGATTGCATGGTTTCAGAGTTGTCATAGGTGCAATGAGGTTAAGCGCCGCGCGTGTGTGTGTGTGTGTGTGTGTGTGTGTGTGTGTGTGTGTGTGTGTGTGTGTGCGCGTGCGTGGGTGTGTGTGTGTGCACCGTAGCAGTTGCTCCCTCCCGTACTTTTTTTTTTATTTCTCCTCTGCTCTTCCAATATTCAGTCCTGCAGTGGCGCACGCGGGATCGGTGCTCCCGCCGGCACGAGCGCAGAGTCTGTTTTATGGCAAAGGAAAGCCGACGGAAACACAGAGAGCTCTGCCAACAACAAATCCCTCCGCAGCTTTAAACACTCATAGACGGATTATAAAGCGGCAGTAAACGATTCCGGAGTAACTTTACTGTCTCCGTCGGTCCGTCCGTTCTTTTCATTTCTTTTCTTCTTTTTTTAGCGCAGCTCCTCAGTCAGCACCTGATTGCCTCCTCAGCATCTTCAGGCTTTCAGCATCAAAAAGGATCTGCACACGGTCAACAAACAATGACTGAACCGTGGCCGTTTGACTTTTATTTGAAGGTAGGATCCTTATAATTAGGCTCTATTTATTTTATTTAAACAGATAGCCTAATTGTTTTTGCTCTTTAGGCTATAGACCTATTTAAGACACATTTGTATTTTGTTGTCTGTGGTTTGGCTTTCACAGTTTTATTTTTAAATGTTAACTAGGTTACTGATGATGACAGACCTTTTGTTCATAAAGAGCAAAATATGCCCATTACTAAATCCAGAGTGACATATCTGCACATCATAAGCCTATATGAATAATTAATATGAAGCTACATTCTTCTTTGCACTGGCTTTATTCTTTAAAAAAACACTGAATAATAACTGATATGTCTTGACTTTGTTCTGCACTACATGTTCCCATCATAGACTGTAAAAAAAATAAGTGGGATAAGCTTTGATCTAAAAAAAAAAAAAAAAAACCCAGAAAAAGAGGTTTTAAGCTTTTCAGTGTTTTTCTTTTCCTGAATGGCTTTGATTTGTCTGCTGCAGATGGACACAGCCTCTGATATCGGCAATGTTCCAATCCAAACAGATCTGATTGCAGTCACATTAAAGTCTAATGGTGTGAGGGGAAGTAAGAGTGAGAGCAAGGAGGAGGAAGGTCTGCGTGACGTTGACTTTCCTTGAAGGTGAGAAAGTCTATTAACAGCTGGTGGAGGATTATCAGGTTCAGACCGCCACTCCCTGGAGGACAAAATGTACACACATTTCATAAAGACTACACTTGGACCAGTGATGAACAGCAAGCTGATTCATAAGATCTAGTAAAAGATGGGAGAACATGACTGGCTTCCCCAAATTTTTATTCACTTCCACAAGAGGATGTGATGTTTTACCTGCTTTGATTCTGATTTTGATGGTCTGCATTTTACTAAGTAGTGTCTATAAATGGATTTTATTCAGGACTAAGGATGTTTTAGGATTATTTTATGCAGATCTTCTACTCTCTAACATTTTTGACAACTTCAAACCATGATCCACTCTTAGGGTCATGACAGAGGACCGACATAGGACTTTGGAGACAGAAACTGATTTAAGAGGGGAAAACTTCCTGGATTACCTATGCGGTGACCCACCTTTTTGACCCTGAATGCGGGATGCAAAGCTTTTCCAAGGAACATTAAGCTTTTGATACGTCTCTGCTGCCCCTCCTGGTTTTGTTGGGAGTGCAGCATGGATCTGTCCCAGGACCAGCAGTCTAGCTGGAGCCCAGTCCAACCCAGCTTCTCTCCCTTTCTGCAGTACGACAGCTCTCAGGAAAACTTCAACAACACAAACAACCTCAACAGCACTGTTGTGCCGTCCTCCACTTTCAGCTCACCAACTACCTCCATCCACCAACCCCTGCCCTCTCTGCTGCCCTCCTCCCTCCTCCCTCCCTCCTCCCTTATCTCCTCCCCTTTATTCTCCACCTCAACCCTATCATTTCAGCAAATATCCACTTTTGTTTACCAACCCTCTGCTTCATCCTTCCCTTTCTCCCTATCTAGCTTTTCTCCCAATGACTTAGCCAACCTGGAGAAAATGCTGCTCTGGACCCTTCATGAGCCCAGTACCATCGCTCTCACAATCATGTACTGTCTTTCTTTTTTTTTGGGATTTGTCGGGAATTTAATGTCACTGCGCGTCCTCACCAACAGACGCAGCCGGCGGCTAGCCGGTGTCAGTGCAACCCGTAATCTTCTTGTGAACCTCGCGTTGTGTGACCTGGCTGTGGTGTGTGTGTGCATGCCTATCACCCTGGGAAACCAGATCTACACCGCCTGGGTGTACGGGGACCTTCTGTGTCGAGCTGTGCCATTCACACAGGCTGTTTCAGTCTCAGCCAGTGTTTTAACCCTGACGGTGATCAGTGTGAATCGCTACTACAGTGTTCGATCACCACTGAGAGCTCGATCCATGTTCACCCGCCATCGAATCTTGGCGACCGTGGCTGTGGTCTGGGTGGTTTCTTTTATCATATGTGCTCCCATAACGGTTATGAATCGACGACGGGAGATCAGCTTTGGGACATTTGCCATCTTGGTGTGTCAGGAGGAGTGGCCTCAGCACCGCCTCAAACAGGGGTAGGTACTCCAACAGAAGAAAGAACAAATAGTTTCTTGAAGTTTGTTAGCGCACTCATGAAGATGAAAAACATTGGTCTGTTCTTTATGAATTCACATTTGTCAATGCAGTGTTTGGCCATAATAATTAGGGTATTAGTTTTGGTACAGCAGGTGTTTAGGTTGCTAGGTGTCATGGGCAGTGGTGCTTAGAAATGGGGGGGGGGAGGTGGGGGGGTAAGGTCAGGGAAAGCTGTTGACGAAAATGGGAAATCCTCCGTGGACCAGACCGTCTCATTTCAGTTCGGCCTTAGCAGTGTATGCAGCCTATGAAGGGTGGCTCCTACGTAGGCTACGTCTTCCAAAGGATGCTACCCTCGAATTAAGACACAGCTAGTGTTTTTAATGTTTGTATGCTTTAAGACAGCGCCAGCTGGTTTTCTAATGTAGCAATCATATATGACAACAATACACAATGTAGTTGAGGTGCTCTGCCGGAAGAATTAAAAAAAAAAAAGTTTTTCTTACTGATTAGCCAAAACTGATGCATTTTTGATGGGGTATATCAGTCAGACAAAGTCTGCTAACAGATATGTGAGTAAACTAACAGTGATTGAGTTATTTTTGTGCATTTTTGATTAACAATATGTTTTGGTCCAATGGGCTCTTAATTGTCAACTGAGCATGTAAAATTGAATCATTGTTCAGCCCAGTTCAGCCCACCAATTTAGACTTGTTTTCCCTTAAAGTAAAAAGCCCACAGGCTGACATAAGAAAAGCAAGTTCTCACTGTGCTAGTTGCAACTTTTGGCACAATATGCTTTGTGATGTTTCTATGAATCAGATTCCATGTACATAACTTAAGTGCAGGCTGTGTTGTTATCTGTAGTTTCAGTAGTTTATTAATGAGCAACATGAAGTAGCATGAGGCAACGTTAGGCAAGGCAAGTTTTCATGAGCCTGTCTACACCCCAAAACTTTATTTTGTAAGTGTCAGGGGCTTTTTGATCCACATAAGAAGACCCACTTCCAATTTAAACCTGCAAGGTCTTGAATTCTGTGCATGAGATGCTTGGATTTTAAATTCAGCAGTATTCTTCAAACAGGTTTAGTGATGGACTTTTGTTCTATTTTTGTGCCTCGCAGGTTTTTGTGTTACTTTATCACAAGTTGTGAAATCACTCCAAACAACTTCTATTGTGTACTCTCTGTCGGTTACTTCTATCATGCTTTCATTGTCTGTTTTGTAACTGTATGCTGCAAAGTGGTCGAAAAAGTGTTGATTTTAGAGAGAAACTGTCAAAGCTAATTCTCTTTGGGAGTTCTGACGGGGCTGATAATGATGACCTTGTCGTACTGAGCTTTGTATCCCTGTGATGGAAACAGAACAAATAAAATAGGTGTGAAAGGAATCCATTAACAATGGAATGGAAGATTAACAATACTGAGACTGCAATCCATAACTTAACACTGAGGATGATGATGTAATAAAAAAATCCTTCATGCAAAACTTCTAAAGTTTATAAAGAGGATGCAGAGAGTTGGTTCCACTTTAATTGTTACACCAAGTGTATCACCGCATGTTTATATTATACATATATTTTGATATAAACCCTTTATGATCCAGCTTGAAGTTATACATTTACTTCGAGAAGGGAGCATCTTAATTTGTTGTCATTCACTTTTCTTCCACAGATATAATGTGCTGCTGTTTGTGATGCTCTACTGCCTTCCTGTGGCGTTTAACCTCACCATAGGTTTCCTAACTGGCAGGCGGCTTTGGGGAGGAAAGAAATCTACTTTTGCGGATCTGGATCCTCGCAGCCAAGCTCTGCATGTGTCCCGCCTCAAAACGCGCCAGAAGATCGCTAAGATGGTTGTGTGTCTGGTGCTGCTGTTTGCAGTATCATGGCTGCCCCTCTACTTGGCTGACCTTTGGATCGACTATGATCAAAGTCAACCATCTTGGCTCCTGCAGACACGCCCGTTTGCCCAGTGGCTAGGTCTGACAAACTCCAGCCTTAACCCCATCTGTTACTGTTTCATAGGGGACCTGTACCGCTCAGCTAAGGTGATACGGACGAGATACTACCAGAAAGTTGCGTCCCTCTTCGGCTCCTCCTCCTTCTCCAGCTCGGTTACAGTGGCGTCTTCTGTCGCACGGATTTCAGACACAAGAGTGACATATGCTGAGCGCCACCACATTGCTGCAGCTGTGGCAGCGTCTGCGTCCATTGTGACTGTCCCCAGGTTGTTGAACCTGGCCAGAGTCCAGGGGCTAGGGCAGAGGGTCGGAGACAGTTCAGACAGCCAAGCAGGATCCGACCACAGTATCTCAGACTGGTGTCGCTCCAGTCCCAGTGTGTGCGACAGCTCTTTGTTCCCCTGCCAGCTGCACACACTTCAGAACTCCATGCAGAAAACAGAATTCCTGCCCATGAGAAGACACTCAGTGAATGACAATGCAGGATCATTACCTTTAAGAATGGAGTGTGTGGAAATAGACATTCTGCCTTTAAGGAGTTATTCAGGGGACATAATATATGGTCCGTCAAACGATAAGAGAGACATTATTACCATGGGCAGAGACGCTCTGTGTTACACCCTGCAGCATCAGAGCAAAACATTACACACCGACTCTTTGGTAGGAGACAGGGAGGATGAAACGATCGACATGACCAGCCTGTGAAAGCTACAGATTAACTCATACTTTATATCAGCAGGGATGACTTTTTTCTTGTTTGTCACAGACATACACACACACACACACACACACACACACACACACACACACACACTCCTGATTCACAGTTTGTAGTTGGCAGTATGAGTTAATCCCTCAGAAAAGCCACTGTTTGACTTAAGGCTAAACTGACCTGGTCTACACTCTCTTTCTGTTCCTGTGTTGTTTTCTCTTTGTGTCCAGGAAAGCACAGGGAATCCAGGGCAGACGTTTGCAACAATCAGATCAGGTTTTGAAGGTGGGTGCAGGGAGCGGCGGTGGAGTAAACTCTGCAGGGGAAGAGCTGGAGTGTTATTTAGCCCCAGGCTCGAAAGCAATTTACCAGTAAAAAGGATAGCGTAGCAGCAGTGCACCATCACATGCAAAGCACATCATAAGTGATTCAATTGCTCGTCACAGCTTGATCTAATTTCTGCTTAAAACAATAACACAACAGGATTAAACAGCATTAAAGTGTGTCTACTGACTTATTTGCCTTTCTTTCTTTCTTTCTTTCTGCTTTGCTGTTGCTTAAGGTTGTTTTTGATACTTACTAAAAGGTCAATTCTTGTTGCAATGTAATGTTGGCACATTGATGTTGTATCGTACGGATAAAGCTTGTGCCAAGCGTGTCTGACACGTCTGTGCTGGATGATGTCACAATCAGCGTCTGCAGTCTGTGAAAGAATGATACAGAAACAGCATTCATGCGTTCAGTCCAAAAAGAACTTCATGGAAAATGATGCAGATAATCAAACAGCCAGCATACAGTGAATGGTTTTCTTTAGCTCATGACAAGTCTGTAATGTCTGATTTGAAATATAGGCAGACGCCCAAAAAGAGGTCAGTTCACCCTAAACCTCAACAGAAAACAAAAACAACCTATATTGTCACCTTAATGGTTTCTAACCATGGTCATAAATTTGGTGAATTATTTCCCGAGTGTCTTAGTTCATGTTAACTCCAGAGCTGACTTCTTGTTCTGTACCTCTTGCAAGCAAATGGCTTTGTTTTTAGGTTTGCATCTGCAGCATCAGAAATCACCTTCATTTGCAATAAGTTTTTTTTTTAGTGTGTATTGTGGTGTTGTGCTTTGTTTTTGTTTAACATGATCTTGTCCTCCTTCTCCTCCTCCTTCTTGTTCTTCACCTTCTGGACTGTATTTGTCTCTTTTTCTCATGTCTGTGCTTTCTTTTTGGGTTTGTCTTATATTTCTTTTTTGCTGCTGCCATTTTGGCCAGGCCTCGCTCGAAAAAGAGGCCATTTGATCTCAAGCAATTCTGCCTGGTAAAATAATAAAAAAATCTTTTAAAGCTGAGCTCATTATGTCAGCTATTAGATAAATGTTGTTAACTCATATCTTTCAAGCGATACATTCTAAAATGATTATTGACAATGAACTGACAATTAGTTTGTTTTTTTGCCAAAACAAGCTATCTTCTTTGTATTAAAATAAAACTAACTCCGCAATCTCTCCCTTCCCTAAATCTAAGTTCTTGTAGAACTGTTCGTCAACTTAACTTCAGTGTGGACGCACACACTCTTTTGGACTCTTGGAGGACATCCATTTTTTTAGCTTAATTATTATCCACAGAGGCTTGTATTTCTAGCTCTCTCCACCAGTTTGTTTAGAACTGAAGAAGCCTTTTTAAAGGAGAAGGGAGACGTCTTCAAGACCTCTCACCAGGTCCAGTTACCCTTTTTTGAACAAGCTTTGAACCTCCTGCAAAGCTCTGATTGGCTCAGTTGTTTTTCCAATCGGGGAAACAAGCTAATTAAACCAAAATAACGTGTCATTCCCAGTAAAGATCGAAGGAAATGTTTGTGATTTGTGGTGAGCTGACCTTTTGAAAAAAAGATTATTGCCAATGTGGCATTGTCTGTACAATGAATGTCACCTGAAAAATAGGGTAAATCAGTTGATATTTTATGAAAGGAGGGGTTTGGTCAGACCAGAGACACTGACTGTAAAAACCAGCAGCAAAGATCTGAAACGGTGCAGAAATGGCTCTAAAGGTTAACGAAATAAAACACATACACACACACATCACACTTACACAGATGCATGAACACAAAGATAACAAATTCTAATCTAGCCTCAGGCATGTGAGAAAGAAAGAGGTGACGAACAACAATGACCTCTGTGATTCCTAATCGCACTGAGCAACACTGAAGGCATCAGACAGTGTGGAAGCGTTTTCTTGCATTGCATTGTACCTGAGATAAATCTCAATCCCATTATTTTTTGGCTGTCTTTTTGATCTCTTTCTTGTTTTTAATTTAATCTACCTCACTCTCTCTCTCTTTTCCAGGAGGATATGTTTATTATATAACAGGAAGAGTTTCAATTTGGAGACCCTTTGACTGAAGCATCAGAGGATTTTCACAAAGTTTCAAAGAGCCTGCAGGACGGCTGGTTTTGAAGAGCTTCAGTTCAAAGATTCAAAAAAGCTGTCTATTTAACAAGGACATAACAAATAGTGGGTGGCCTAAAATACGCAGATAAAAAGTGTCTGCATACTTCTTGGATCGTTCATCTAATCTTCTTTTGTTCCCTCAGGCTTGATTAAATCTTAATGGGATCTGAATTTAGTTATGAGTCACTCTCATTCCCTTATCAAGTGAGTTATAGAGAGGTTGAAAGCAGTCTGTCTCATCAAACTTGTGAAATGGACATTGCAAGACAATTTCATTAGTAGATGTAGCCCACGTTGGATATGCTGATTTAACTTGTTCATTTTTTATTTTTTAGAAAATGAAGCTAACAGGAACTGGAACTACTTTGGCGAAGGTTGAGGTTAAGGCTTTTTATTCGTCAGGCAATTTTGCTCAAGGTTGAACATCTGTGTCTATTCTATTACGTTTTATTTTCTTATTTTCACCTGTTCAAAGTACCCTATGGACTTAACTTTTAAATAAATGTTTAATTTCTCTTAACGACTCTGTCTTTTCCCTTGAGGCCTAATACATGGGTCTGAACACTTTTTCTTCCTTCATAAAGCATTTGCGCATCTGAGATAAACAGAGTGAAGCCATTTGCAGGAATGTGTAATGCATCACCAATGTTGTTTTCCAAACTGGGGACCCACTCATTAAAACATTGTTATATAAGCATTTGGTCTACAACACCCCAGAGTAACTATAAGAAGTCATTCTAATCTTATGTAGAAAAGATTTTGAGATGTTATTTTTGTTAAGATAACCTGAATTCTGCAACATTACACTTGTTATTTGGACCTGTTTGATCATTTTTTCACAATAAACAAATCTCTTTTTTCCCTCACAGTCCAAAACCTTTATCCTGAGTGGAGTGCACTTAAGCAGTCACCCTAAGAATACAACATACATACCGACAGGGGGCCAAGTACAAACCCCATTAGATGAGAGGAAGATTGTCACAAGTGCTGACTCCTCAAAAAAGCTGTGCTGCATGGGGCAGTTAAATGCACTGAACATGTGTAAAGATGCTGACAGGCCAAGTTGATCTTGAATGTAAATCAAGACGGCAGGATGAAAAGTTCTTAGTTGATTAGAATATTACGTTGCTTTTTTTAAATTAGGGCAGATGGCAGAGCATCAGTCACAAAGAAAAAGTCATATTGTCAGCTGAGTCATCTGTCACTCCTCTGTTGACAGTGTATTAATTTAAAACTGACAAATCACTGCTGCGAAAATAACTCACTGACACTGCTTTGGTTAGGTGAGAAATTTAGAGAAAATTCTTTGGTTAGAGCTGGAGAAGACCGTGATTTGGTTTCCATTTAATACTTTATTACAGTAAGTAGACCTTGGTCACTGTGGTAGTGGCTGAAACTGTGGACTAGAAGGATACTGTTGAATGAGTATGTACTGGCTAGACACAAAAGGGGAAAAAAAGTAGATATTTTTTCAATACAAACGGTCACAGGAGCGGTGTCCATTGCTCCTGTGCAATACCGGAAACTAATTTTCTGCAGTGTTTTTAAAGGGTCATCTGGGTCTTGAAGCACTCGCATGGATGTAAAGAACACACGCACACACACACACACACACACACACACACATTACCACTAAGACTCAAGATGAAGCGCTTCAACTTGTAATTACTTTCCTCTCTTCAGACACTGGGCCTTTATATGCTTCGCTCAGATCTATTCTCCACATTCTTTCATCTCTCTGTTTTTCTTTGCCCTGTTCATGTCCTCTTCTCCTTCTTGACTTTTTTTCTTTCTTTCCGTTTTGTCATCCTCTTGCGTCACAGCTGTAGTGTGGTAAACTTGTTGTAAACAATAATGTGTTTCTTCCTCTTCCCTCATTACCATCTCCTTAGTTCTCTTTTTGGCCGCAAGACAAGGGCTATTTAACACTAGAGAGCATAGCCAGAGGGGTGCAATGCAAAATAAAGGCACCCTAACTGTGAACTAATAAGCATGATGATGATGAGGCCACTTTTGCAAAGCCACAGACAACACTTTCAGCATAAGGTTGATAACTAGAGAAGGGAAATGGATTTCTGGCTATTTAATATGCCTGCTGTCGACAAAACGTGAAATCGATTTAACTTAAAATGATTAAATATTCATGAACTGTTAGACTTTATGAATGTTTCCTTAAGAGTAGTCAATGCTTAAACTGATCGTCAATAACCAAAGATCACACCTTCTCTTTTTCACCTGTCTACCTCTGCTCTTGTTTAGAATGTACATGTTGAAAACAAAAGACTTTCTGCACACATATGCCATCTCTCGCATTTTTAACATGAGTTTCATTTTCAGTTGTGAACCCTGATTCATTTAAAATGAAGACAGAAAAAAGGACATGATTGTAGTGTCTTTGCCAAAAACGTAGAAGCTTTGTTTAGTATGATTTGAATGTTTACTTAAAAAACGCTCATCAAATGTAAAATAACAAAGACGTATAGAACATCTAATGTCAACAATAAAATCATAACAAAATATTTTCCAAGAAATCTGGACTGAAACTGAAGCACTTAATTTAATTCTTTAAACTTGTTTATTTCCTACTCTGACATGTTAAAATGTGTCAAATGTCCTATTTGATGGTCAGAACATGTGACGATAATGAAAAGCTGACATCTCTTATATGTTTTTTTTTTTTTAAATGGAGCAGTTTGAAGGTTTGCCAGGCCCCCAGGTTGCAGGCATTTGAGATGGTCAGCTATATTACCATCTCACATGCTATATTACAAAAAACATTATTTTTAGACCTCACTGTGACTTCACATTTTTGTTTTACCTCTCCTGCAAGTGCAGTCTTGGAGAAAAAAAAGGTGTTTTAAAGGAACCTGTTGTTGGACCTAATACAGACTTAGTATCAAACTTAAACAGCCCAGATTTTGCTGTAGCTCTTGCACCATGCAGACAAAGGCTGTTGTGATATGGATTTACTTCACTGGATCGCAGAAAACTAAAACAGCAGACCTGATGGAGTGCGAGTGAAACAGCCGAG